CTTAGAATAAAAACCTTACAGTGTAACAACAGTTTTAGTAAGTAATAAGCTGACGAAGTAGAAACAAAAAAAAAGTGGGTTTTTTTATGTGCCCGCAGGACAGAGGAAGAGCAATTCTTAGACGATTGTTCTAAATTCAATCACTTTCTTCTTCATCATCCTCATCATTTCCCCTCCCTATCCTTGCTGGACTCTCTTTCATTCAGTTTCTTCAGCAAAGAAGAACTCTGTGTTTCAGAAACTCACTTTATATAGAGGGTCTATCACTCTTTCACACTGTGGTAAATAAAGCCATTTTGTTATTTAGAATAATTTATTTCTGTTTTTAGAGGGGGAGAAACCAAAAGCCCACCATGCCTATTTTTCATAAATCATCAGTCCACATGTCAAGTGTAATTGCGCCACTGTATTTACCCAAGTTCTCTCTCAACTCCGGGACCACCCGCAAGCTATTTTTTTTGTTGGTCTGATGCAGGACTCTAGTGCCAGAGAACAGAGACTCTCGGACTGAAACATTCACACCTCCATTAATTTACGAAAAGATAGTCAATTTGTGCCACAGTTTAGACTACCAATAGATCAGCGCTCTAACTCCCCCTTGTGATAGTGTGGTGCCATGACAGAATGATGCAATTTACCACAATCTGCCACCATCTACCACAAAAGATCGCGGCATAAGCTCAAAACTTTTAATTGAAGACCCACTGTATAGCTTCAAAATATGTGACCGACCAGCTCGATTCGGTCTTATGTAGCAAAAATTTGATTTTTTTTTTTTTTACATTGGATAAAATTAGAGACTCAGAGCTAGAAAATGGTATATCATACACTACAGTTGAGGAACAATGGGAAAGTAATTCTGCTTTGAAAGTTGATAAACTTGTAACCACACTTTTGAGAAAATGGCCCTTGAATGTTTTGGGAAACCTACTGGAGAGCTCTTCTTTGTCTACACCCATTCAGCATCGTTCACACCCTCTTAAGACTTATCCCACAAATCTCTTTAAGGAGTGAGGCCATGTACTAAACAACCAAAGATTTCAAGACTAAAGGCTGGTTTATGGTGTGTTTGTAAATTCAATCTGGAGTGCCAGAGTGCTCAGAGCGTTGTCAGATTGGCCGTTCATAAATTCAGAACATTTAGCTCTCGGAACGTTCAGAGCGCACACTGGACGCTCTGGTGGAGGAGTAGAGTTGATCCAAGCGCTCTGACCTAACAACAGCACTCAAGCACCCAAGCTAACTTGCTAACGTTGGCTAGCTTGCTAGCTACTTCCAGACACGAATGAGAGAAAAGCTCACTCTGTCCATTTTACTCGCCCTAGCAGAGCTGGTTAGGCTGTTTTTATGTTATCCAGAGCATTGTTGACTGTAACTGTGCTGCTGGCAACAATTTAAATACGCTTTTTTGCCAACGTTTACTGACACTGGCCATATTCAACGGGTGTTGAGCATTCGTAAATTCGTCAGTTATTCTGCGCTCTGGCACACTCAGACGAGAGTGCTCTGAAATCGGAGTAAATAGCCAGAGCTGTTGCAGTGACATCATGAACATTCTATTGAAATGGTTACTTGCATATTGGAGTTTTTTGTTTAACAATGTAGCTAGACAATGAATCATAATCCCAACTCATAACGTTACTACCCTGCATGAATCTGCACGTAGCTAACCAACCAGGTTCAATGTTAGCTAAATAGCTAACATTAGGCTATAACTAGCAATGCAAATGGCTCTGAGAAACGAATAATATTACTACACAGATCATACAGCTAACGTTAGCTAGATAGCTAACAGTACCATTTAACTTGAAATGTAAGTCGCTCTGGATAAGAGCATCTGCTAAATGACGTAAATGTAAATGAAAACTACTTTCTGACAAAATTAGAAATGTGTAATATCTGAAAATGTAGCTAGAGAGACTATCTTACCCGTAGACATGGATGGACGCTTCTCCCTCTCTGTCACGGATGCCATCGTTGCCCTTAGTTTGAAGATGTAATCCGGATACAGGTGTTTTATACAATGGCCTTCTGTGTGTTCTCTTTTCGACTCCCTCTGCATATTTGCAATCAAATGCCAGAATTTTCTCAATCTCCTTAGCTTTCATACTCTAATTCCACTGGGCATTCCACTGATTTCAAAACTTGGTCCTCCATAAAGTGGAGAGCAACCCTTTTGCATTTCTACTACGTGATATCGTTAAAAAAGCAGACCAATCCGAACACATCTCTCGGCATATCCAGCCCACCCATTATCTCAGCCAATCATGGCTAGAGGGAAGGTTCCTGTCTTTTTCTGTGGCTAAACCAACTAGGCTCGTAATTTAACAATTGTATTGGTATTTACAGATGGCACACAAGTTTGTTATTAAGGCACATGAAAGTTCACATGTACCAGAAGGCATTTCTGCCAAAAAACGCATTTTGATTAAAAAAAAGACATTTACGTTCAAATGGCCTACCACTTTGGAGATTCAAAATATTTTTTTTTGTGAAACAAACAAGAAATAAGAGAAAAAAACTTGAGTGTGCATAACTATTCACCCCCCCCGAGCCACCTTTTTGTAGCAATTACAGCTGCAAGTCTCTTGGGGTATGTCTCTATAAGCTTGGCACATCTAGCCACTGGGATTTTTGCCCATTCTTCAAGGCAAAACTGCTCCAGCTCCTTCAAGTTGGATGGGTTCTGCTGGTGTACAGCAATCTTTAAGTCATACCACAGATTCTCAATTGGATTGAGGTCTGGGCTTTGACTAGGCCATTCCAAGACATTTAAATGTTTCCCCTTAAACCACTCGAGTGTTGCTTTAGCAGTATGCTTAGGGTCATTGTCCTGCTGGAAGGTGACCCTCCGTCCCAGTCTCAAATCTCTGGAAGACTGAAACAGGTTTCCCTAAAAAATTTCCCTGTATTTAGCACCATCCATCATTCCTTCAATTCTGACCAGTTTCCCAGTCCCTGCCAATGAAAAACATCCCCACAGCATGATGCTGCCACCACCATGCTTCACTGTGGGGATGGTGTTCTCGGGGTGATGAGAGGTGGTGGGTTTGCAACCAGACATAGCGTTTTCCTTGATTGCCAAAAAGCTCAATTTGAGTCTCATCTGACCAGAGTACCTTCTTCCATATGTTTGGGGAGTCTCCCACATGCCTTTTGGCGAACACCAAACGTGTTTGCTTATTTTTTTCTTTAAGCAATGGCTTTTTCCTGGCCACTCTTCCGTAAACCCCAGCTCTGTGGAGTGTACGGCTTAAAGTGGTCCTATGGACAGATACTCCAATCTCCGCTGTGGAGCTTTGCAGCTCCTTCAGGGTTATCTTTGGTATTTTTGTTGTCTCTCTGATTAATGCCCTCCTTGCCTGGGCCATGAGTTTTGGTGGGCGGCCCTCTCTCGGCAGTTTTGTTGTGGTGCCATATTCTTTCAATTTTTTTATAAAGGATTTAATGGTGCTCCGTGGGATGTTCAAAGTTTCGAATATTTTTGTATAACCCAACCCTGATCTGTACTTCTCCACAATTCTTTCCCTGACCTGTTTGGAGAGCTCTTTGGTCTTCATGGTACCGCTTGCTTGGTGGTGCCCCTTGCTTAGTGGTGTTGCAGACTCTAGGGCCTTTCAGAACAGTTGTATATAAACTGAGGTCATGACAAATCATGTGACACTTAGATTGCACACAGGTGGACTTTATTTAACTAATAATGTGACTTCTGAAGGTAATTGGTTGCACCATATCTTATTTAGGGGCTTCAGAGCAAAGGGGGTGAATACATATGCATGCACCACTTTTCCGTTTAATTATTTTGAATTTTTTGAAACTTTCATTTCACTTCACCAATTTTGACTATTTTGTGTATGTCCATTACTTGAAATCCCAATAAAAATCCATTTAAATTACAGGTTGTAATTCAACAAAATAGGAAAAATGCCAAGGGGGATGAATACTTTCGCAAGGCACCGTATGTATTAGACTAGGTCAAATGTAGGGTTAAGGAGTGGTTTCGAGGACACAAATTACACTTAGTCCTCGACTATAAATAATTTGGGCTGGAGATTTTCCATTGATCTTGCTTTTTAGTCCAGGACTACGCTTAATCTGTGTCCAGGAAAACCTCCCCATGATGTTTAAATTAGTGGAATGGGATGATGCCTTACATGAAATAACACATTTACATGACCAAGTACATTAATGGGGTAAACCTACTCTAAGAGTGTGTATTAGGCTGTTTGAGAGAAGGTTTGAATCTTAATCAACAATGTGAGTACATCTGTTGTTGAAGTACAGTTGATCAATAAAGCTACAGTACACTAACAGTAGTCAAGCTGCTTATGCTGAAAAGTGCATAGGTCAAATTGTTAGTGCATAGGTCAAATTAGCTTTAGAATTTCTAATATTTCACTTAAAATGTAGTTTGTTGTATTAATAATATAACCAGGTGATATTACGGTTTCAATAAATCAATCTTAAATGGGACTTATTTTTTTATTGACTGAATATATATGGGACAATTTAGCAATTAGCATTTGTTATCTGTAATGGTTATGATAAATTAGGCATTGTTGCACACTGTTTACATATAGGCCTGGATAAATGAAAAATAATAATCTCTCCAACCCCAGGTGTTACTAACCTGATTCATTTTATCAACCTGCTAATTATTAGAATCAGGTGTGGTAGATTAGGTTTGGAGCAAAAAACTACAGGACGGTAGCTCTACAGGAACAGGGTTGGGCAGTCCTGGTATACAGTATAAGTAAACTGTATGTAAACTGTGTGTGTGTGTGTCTGTGTGCGTGCGTACCTGTGCGTGTGCCTGTTTGTGTGTGTGTTAAATGTGTGTATATGTGAACTGCGTGTGTGCGTGCGTGTATGTGTGTGTGTGCCTGTGCATGTGTGTTCCCACAGGCGCTGTGTTTGTGCGTAAACCACTCAACAGAGAGCTGGTGGCCACCTTTGAGATCCTTGTGTCGGTGCATGACAACGCCAGTGATGTCATCGACATGTCAGTCAGCGTACCTAATGGTGAGTCTTCATCTAAAATCACCCTACTTGTAGTTATTGTTTGGTATTTCATCACCTTTTTGTGGCCCTATACAGTGGGGGAAAAAAAGTATTTAGTCAGCCACCAATTGTGCATGTTCTCCCACTTAAAAAGATGAGAGGCCTGTAATTTTCATCATAGGTACACGTCAACTATGACAGACAAATTGAGAAAAAAATATCCAGAAAATCACATTGTAGGATTTTTAATGAATTTATTAGCAAATTATGGTGGAAAATAAGTATTTGGTCAACTACAAACAAGCAAGATTTCTGGCTCTCATAAACCTGTAACTTCTTCTTTAAGAGGCTCCTGTGTCCTCCACTTGTTACCTGTATTAATGGCACCTGTTTGAACTTGTTATCAGTATAAAAGACACCTGTCCACAACCTCAAACAGTCACACTCCAAACTCCACTATGGCCAAGACCAAAGAGCTGTCAAAGGACACCAGAAACAAAATTGTAGACCTGCACCAGGCTGGGAAGACTGAATCTGCAATAGGTAAGCAGCTTGGTTTGAAGAAATCAACTGTGGGAGCAACTATTAGGAAATGGAAGACATACAAGACCACTGATAATCTACCTCGTGGGGTCAAAATGATCACAAGAACGGTGAGCAAAAATCCCAGAACCACACGGGGGGACCTAGTGAATGACCTGCAGAGAGCTGGGACCAAAGTAACAAAGCCTACCATCAGTAACACACTACGCCGCCAGGGACTCAAATCCTGCAGTGCCAGACGTGTCCCCCTGCTTAAGCCAGTACATGTCCAGGCCCGTCTGAAGTTTGCTAGAGTGCATTTGGATGATCCAGAAGAGGATTGGGAGAATGTCATATGGTCAGATGAAACCAAAATAGAACTTTTTGGTAAAAACTCAACTCGTCGTGTTTGGAGGACAAAGAATGCTGAGTTGCATCCAAAGAACACCATACCTACTGTGAAGCATGGGGGTGGAAACATCATGCTTTGGGGCGGTTTATCTGCAAAGGGACCAGGACGACTGATCCGTGTAAAGGAAAGAATGAATGGGGCCATGTATCGTGAGATTTTGAGTGAAAACCTCCTTCCATCAGCAAGGGCATTGAAAATGAAACGTGGCTGGGTCTTTCAGCATGACAATGATCCCAAACACACCGCCCGGGCAACGAAGGAGTGGCTTCGTAAGAAGCATTTCAAGGTCCTGGAGTGGCCTAGCCAGTCTCCAGATCTCAACCCCATAGAAAATCTTTGGAGGGAGTTGAAAGTCCGTGTTGCCCAGCGACAGCCCCAAAACATCACTGCTCTAGAGGAGATCTGCATGGAGGAATGGGCCAAAATACCAGCAACAGTGTGTGATAACCTTGTGAAGACTTCCAGAAAACGTTTGACCTGTGTCATTGCCAACAAAGTGTATATAACAAAGTATTGAGAAACTTTTGTTATTGACCAAATACTTATTTTCCACCATAATTTGCAAATAAATTCATTAAAAGTCCTACAATGTGATTTTCTGGATTTTTTTTCTCATTTTGTCTGTCATAGTTGACGTGTACCTATGATGAAAATTACAGGCCTCTCTCATCTTTTTAAGTGGGAGAACTTGCACAATTGGTGGCTGACTAAATACTTTTTTTCCCCACTGTATGTCTCTCAAGATTCAACACTGTCAAACCAACAGAAGTTGATAGGAATTGACTTACTTCAGCTCATGATAAAATCAAGCATACTTACCTTACACACAAACCTCAATCAGTACAATACACTCAAAATTGGTTGAACGAAAATGCTCTTATACTCTCTTGTCTCATCACAAAAATAACCCTCTCAATTACCTCTCAAACCATTGACAGCGAGACTGATAGTGAACGTGCTGGATGTGAATGACAACGCCCCGCGGTTCAGACCCTTTGGAGTGGCCAACTTCTCAGAGAAGATTCTGGAAGGCGCTCAGCCAGGCACCACTCTGCTGTCCGTGTCAGCCGTGGACCCAGACAAAGGCCCTAACGGACAGATCATCTACCAGCTGCTACACCTGCCCCGAGGGGACTACCTCAGACTGGAGGACCCCTCAACTGGTATAACACAGACACAAACACACACTGACACAAATCTCACTCCAAAAGCGCACATCAAAACTTTTTAGGACATACACATTTGATTGACTATATACAAAAATGTTACCCCTTGTAAAAATACTAAACAACCTTAGTCCAAACACCTAGCGACCTCAACAATAGATTTGAGCCTTTTGATATAATGGTTTTGGAATGAAAGTCACAGGGACCAGGGTTTGAGTCCCAGTCAGGGTACCCCCTAATTAACTACATTGGTGTCAGGTGTTGGATAGCACCATTGAAAGCATGTCGCAGCTAAGTTGTAGTCACAGTTTATTTTTCAGAAGCATGGTTCCGCCATTTTTAGTAATTGATGTGCTAGCTGAAATGTATAGCATTCTACTAAAGTAATCAGAACTATTCTTACTATATTTAACTTTATTCAGCTTGAATTCTAAATTTAACACATCTCTCACTACCATAACAAATATTTTTCGACAGCTAAAGCAAGCACACACATTTTCTTCAGGAAATGTACCTATTCTTAGTTTAGTCATATTTATCTTACATTAGAAGAGTTCACTCTAGGCTGACTAGCATCTGCAATGCCTTCAGAAAGTATTCATACCCCTTGACTCATTCCACATTTTGTTGTGTTACAACCTGAATTCAAAATGGGTTAAATATTTTAAAAAATCTTACCCATCTACACACAACACCCCATAATGACGAAGTGACAACATGTTTTTAGAAATGTTTGCAAATTTGTTGAAAATGAAAGACAGAAATATCTCATAAGTATTCACAAAATAAATTGTAAAGTGGTTGTCCCACTGGCTATCATAAGGTGAATGCACCAATTTGTAAGTCGCTCTGGATAAGAGCGTCTGCTAAATGACGTAAATGTAAATATACATACTATATACATTTTACGGACATGGTACAAGGATACGGTACATTTTACATTAGTTATCTTTTATTTTTATTTTGTATTTTTGTCCCACACTTCAGCTACCAGAAAACCCCTACCATCGATCTCTGAAAACCATCCAGTTTTGATTTCTACTTACCATATATTTTTCAACTTTGCTGTGATGTTTCACAAAAGTTCTGAACCTTTCTATTCTCATAGTTTCTACAGATTTAAATGAAAGATTAACATTTTTACTAAGATATTATTGATCGATTGACTATCCTTTTCAAGTAATTTGCAGATCTAGCTTTAAGCAAATGTTGTGATTTTTCAGCCATTCCTGAACCTGTGACCAAAAACAAGCTACATATGGGAAGTACCAAAACAAGTGATCTAAAAATTATCTCTCTTCGCAGCAAAATCTGCAGAGCTGGGATGATTGTATCCCACATATACATAACACTCTAATGGTTGCAAGAATGTTGTTTGGAATACGGTGTTGTTTTGTGTATCAGTTCATAAACCATGTGCCATGGAATCGGCACATCAAAAGTCTCTTCCCAACTATTTTGCAACCTGTATGGTGCAGCTGTAAAAAAAAGGTGTCCTTAAATTAAACTGGTATACTTTTTTGTTTATCACAATTTTCTTTATCACAAAGTTCCTTAACTTTATTTTATTTTTTTCATTTAGCAGACGCTATATTTTTGTTAGCTGCATGTGTGACATAACTCATTAAAAGAGATTATACAATATTTTATTTTATTCCCCGAAAAGAGTGTGCAAAGCTGTCATCTAGGCAAATGGTGGCTATTTGAAGAATATTTTGATTTGTTTAACACTTCTTTGGTTACTACATAACCAATTCAATAATTAATGAGGGTGATTTTTCCACAAATAGACAGGGATTTGCCTTTCCATGGTAGCAAGATCTTATCTATTTTTGCTAACGTTCTATTAAAATGTAGTATAGTGAGATCATTTATTTATTTTCGGGATATGAATACTGAGTATGTCCACTTCACCGTCAGACCATTTTATTGGTAAACTACAGTTGTATTTTTTTGCTTTGGTTGTACCATAGTTTGGTTGTAATCCAGAGAGGAATTATCTAGATCCTCTATGAGGCTGTGCAGGGATCCAAATTGCAGATTAAAAAGAAAACATGAGTTGTCAGCGTACAATGACACCTTTTGTTTTTTATCCCCGGATTTCTAGCCCCTTGATATTATTACTGTATCTAATTTTAATAGCTAACATTTCGATGGCCATAGTAAATAGATATGCCAATAGTGGACAACCTTGTTTCACTTGTATTGATAGTTTAATAGTTTTTGAGAAGTAGCCATTAATTACTATTTTACAACTGGGGTTACTATACACAACTTTAACCCGTTGTATAAGAGATCCAAAATTAAAATAGTCCAGGCATTTACACATAAATTCTAGTCGCCCTTTATTAAAATCCTTTTCAAAATCAGCTATGAATACTAGGCCTGGTTTCCCAGCATTTTCATAGTGTTCTATTGTTTCCAGTACTTCTCTTATATTATCTCCAATGTATTGTCCCATGTGAAAAAACTTGTCTGATTAGGATGAATAATATCCGACAATACTTTTGTAATTCTATGCGCTATGCATTTTGCTAGAATTTTTGCATCACAACTCTGAAGTGTAAGGGGCCTCTAGGTTTTTAGGCGGACTGGATCTTTATATTTACCACCTGGGTCTTGTTTTAGTAATAGTGAAATCAGACCTTCTTGCTGAGTATCTGATAGTCTACTGACGGAGTAACCCATGATTCACCAAATGATATTTTGAAGGAGGAAACAAGGTACTTTAAGCAAATGTTTTCGTTTGTCGCCTCCATCTCCTCTAACTGAAGCTAATTGTAGAGATGTTTTTCCCCCATTGATAATGTACAATTAACAGCCAAACAGAAAGACTCATGTGAAGGTGAAATTACAGAGGAGGAACTTCTGGATGCAATTAAAGACTTTAAGTCCGGGAAAACTCCAGGGTTGGATGGCATACCAGTGTAAGTATACCAAACCTTTTTTGATATACTAAGAGGACCGTTATTAGCATGTTTTAACCACTCCTATGTAAATGGTAGATTATCTGACACTCAAGGAGAAGGTCTGATCTCATTATTACTGAAACAGGATACAAGTGGAAAATATAAAGATCAAGTCCATAAAAAAATTGGAGGCCCCTTACACTTCACTGTTGTGATGCAAAAATTCTAGCAAAATGTAATAGCGCATAGAATTAAAAAGGTATTGTCGGATATTACTCATTCTAATCAGACAGGTTTTTTACATGGAACGATACATTGGAGATAATATAAGGCAAGTATTGGAAACAATAGAACATTATGGAAAATCGGAGAAACCAGGCCTGCTATTCATAGCAGACTTCGAAAAGGCATTTGATAAAGTACGCCTGGAACATTTCAATTTTGGTGAATCTCTTATAAAATGGGTCAAAATCATGTATAGTAACCCTATGTGTAAAATAGTAAATAATGGCTATTTCTCAGAAAGTTTTAAACTGTCAAGAGGAGTGAAACAAGGTTGTCCACTATCGGCATATCTATTTATTGTGGCCATCGAGGTGTTAGCTATTAAAATCAGATCCAACAATAATATCAGGGGATTAGAAATCCAGGGCGTAAAAACAAAGGTGTCATTGTATGCTGATGATTCATGTTTTATTTTAAATCCACAACTAGAATCACTCCACAGCCTCATAGAGGATCTAGATACATTTTCTAACCTCTCTGGATTACAACCAAACTATGACAAATGTACTATATTACGTATTGGATCAATAAAAAATAAAACATTTACATTGCCATGTAGTTTACCAATAAAATGTGGATATACTCGGAATACATATCCCAAAGGAAATTAATGATCTCACTTCAATAAATTATAATAGAAAGTTAGCAAAAATAGATAAGATCTTGCTACCATGGAAAGGTGGGTGCCTGTCAATTTGTGGAAAAATCACCCTGATTAACTCTTTAGTATTATCCCAGTTTACCTATTTGCTTATGGTCTTGCCTACACCTAGCGAACAGTTTTTTAAATTATATGAGAACAAAATATTCCATTTTATTTGGAACGGCAAGCCAGACAAAATTAAACGGGCCTATTTATATAATGAATATGAATTCGGAGGACAGAAATAATTAAATATTAAAGCATTAGACCTATCACTAAAAGCTTCAGTCATACAAAAGTTATACTTAAATCCGAACTGGTTCTCTAGCAAATTAGTAAGATTGTCTCACCCAATGTTCAAGAATGGCCTTTTTCCCTTTATTCAGATTACAACCACTCACTTTCAGTTATTTGAAAAGGAAATCATCTCCCAGATATCACTATTTCTAAAACAAGCCATAGAAAGTTGGTTGCATTTTCAATTTAATCCTCCAGAAACGACAGAACAAAAAATGCAACAAAAATTGTGGTTAAACTTAAATATACTAATTGACAAAAAAACTATTTTTTTGACAAAATGTTTAAAAAAGGTATAATCTTTGTAAATGATATCATCAGTAGGACTGGTGGAGTTATGTCGCACATGCAGCTAACAAAAACATATGTAAATGTCTGCTCTACCCAAAATTACAACCAAATAATTGCAGCCTTACCGCAAAAATGGAAGAGGAAAGTGGAAGGAGGAGAAAGTAAGGAACTTGTCTGTCTGCCTTGCATTAAAGAACATAATTGGTTAAGGAAAACTGTGATAAATAAAAAAAGTATATCAGTTTCATTTAAGGACCAAAGGATTGACAGCCGTCCCATATAGATTGCAAAATAGTTGGGAAGAGATTTTTGACGTACCGATCCCATGGCATAGTGTTTATGAACTGATACGCAAAACGACACCGGATTAAATTATTATATACAATTATTGCTACCAATAGAATGTTATTTATATGGGGGATACAATCTTCCCAGCTCTGCAGATTTTGCTGCGAAGAGACAGAATCATTAGTTTTGGTACTGTCCATTTGTAGCTTGTTTTTGGACACAGGTCCAGGAATGGCTAAAGGATTGCAATATTTACCTGGAGCTAACCCTGCAGATAGCACTACTGGGTGATCTGAAAAGTCATAGTCAATCGATCAATAACATAATAATACTATTAGCAAAAAAAATTATTTTCAATTCACAATCTGTAGAAACAATGAGAATAGAAAGGTTCAGAACTTTTGTAAGACATCACAGTACAGTTGAAATATACAGTATTTGGTTAACTATTTAACTAACTATTTAGCAGTCTTATGGCTTGGGGGTAGAAGCTGTTCAGGGTCCTGTTGGTTCCAGACATGGTGTGTTGGTACCGCTTGCTGTGCGATAGCAGAGAGAACAGTCTATGACAGGGTTCTCCAACCCTGTTCCTGGAGAGCTACCCTCCTGTAGCTTTCTGCTCCAACTCCAGTTGTAACTAACCTGATTCATCTTATCAACCAGATAATTATTAGAATTAGGTACGCTAGATTAGGATTGGAGTGAAAACCTACAGGACGGTAGCTCTCCAGGAACAGGGTTGGACACCCCTGGTCTATGACTTGGGTGACTGGAGTCTTTGACAATTTTTAGGACCTTTCTCTGACACTGCCTGGTATAGAGGTCCTGGATGGCAGGGAACTTGGCCCAAGTGATGTACTGGGCCGTATGCACTACCCTCTGTAGCGCCTTGCGGTCGGATGCCAAGCAGTTGCCATACCAAGCGGTGATGCAGCCAGTCAAGATGCTCTCAATGGTGCAGCTGTATACCTTTTTGAGGATCTGAGGGCCCATGTCAAATCTTTTCAGCCTCCTGAGGGGGAATATTGTTTGTTGTGCCATCTTCATGACTGTGTTGGTGTGTTTGGACCATGATAGGTCCTTAGTGATGTGGACACCGAGGAATTTGAAGCTCTCGATCCGCTCCACTTCAGCCCCGTCGATGTGAATCGGGGTGTGCTCGGCCCTCCGTGTCCGTTGTCTTGCTGAAATTGAGGGAGAGGTTGTTGTCCTGGCACCACACTGCCAGGTCTCTGACCTCCTCCCTTTAGGCTGTCAAATCGTCGCCAGTGATCAGGCCTACCTACGTCGTGTCATCTGCAAATGATGGTATTGGAGTCATACGCGGCGACGCAGTCATGGGTGAACAGGGAGTACAGGAGGGGAGCGTGCACCCCTGAGGGTCCCCTGTGTTGAGGGTCAGCGTGGCGGATGTGTTGTTGCCGATCCAGTTGCAGAGGGAGGTGTTCAGTCCCAGGGTCCTTAGCTTAGTGATGAGCTTGGAGGGCACTATGGTGTTGAATGCTGATCTGTAGTCAATGAACAGCATTCTCACGTAGGTGTTTCTTTTGTCCAAGTGGGAAAGGGCAGTGTGGAGTGCAATAGAGATTGCGTCATCAGTGGATCTGTTGGGATGTGAGGGCTACGGGGCGATAGTCATTTAGACGGGTTACCTAGGCTTTCTTGGGCACAGGGATTATGGTAGTCTGCTTGAAACATGTACAGTAGGTATTACAGACTGGGTCAGGGATAGGTTGAAAATGTCAGTTGGTCAACGCATGCTCCGAGTACGTATCCTGGTAATCCGTCTGGCCCTGCGGCCTTGTGAATGTTAAGCTGTTTAAAGGTCTTACTCACATCAGCTACGGAGAGCTTGATTACACAGTCGTCCAGAACAGCAGGTGATCTCACACATGGTTTAGTGTTGCTTGACTCAAAGCGAGCATAGAAGGTATTTAGCTCGTCTGGTAGACTCGTGTCACTGGGCAGCTCGCGGCTGGGTTTCCCTTTGTAATCCGCGATAGTTTGCAAGCCCTGCCACAACCGACGAGCATCAGAGCCGGTGTAGTAGGATTCGATCTTAGTCCTGTATTGACAATTTGCCTGTTTGATGGTTCATCTGAGGGCATAGCAGGATTTTTTTATAAGCATCCGGGTTAGTGTCCTGTTCCTTGAAAGTGTCAGCTCTAGCCTTTAGCTCAATGCGGATGTTGCCTGTAGTTGCACATTTAACATGCTGGTAGAAATTAGGTAAGACGGATTTCAGTTTTCTTGCATTAAAATCACCAGCCACTAGGAGCGCCGCCTCTGGATGAGCATTTTCTTGTTTGCTTATGGCCCTATACAGCTCGTTGAGTGCGGTCTTAGTGCCAGCATCGTTGTTTTGGTGGTAAATAGACAACTACGAAAAATATAGATGAAAACTCTCTTCGTAAATGGTATGGTCTACAGCTTATCATGAGGTATTCTAACTCAGGCTAGCAGAACCTTGAGACTTCCATGATATTAGAGATTTGCACACCAGTTGTTAACAAAGAGACACACACTACTCCCTTGAGCTTACCCGACGCTGCTGTTCCGTCCTGCTGATGTATAGAAAAACCAGCTAGTTGTATATTATCCATGTCCTTGTTCAGCCAACATAGGATATTGCAGTTCTTCAGGTCCCGTTGACAGGAAAGTCTTGAACGGAGCTTGTCCAGTTTCTCCAGTAACTGTAACTTCGCTAATAGAACCGAGGATAGAGGTGGTTTATTTACTCAGCGCTTTGATTCATCATAGAATTCTGAAAATGGAATAGCTGGGTATTGAAGCTCATTTTTGAAAAATCAACCAAACATTCTAAATGCAAACATTCTGCAAACTTTGCATCGGTCATTCAGAATTGACATGACAATGAAACAGAATGAAATTATTGGATGTAGCATACTGTGCATCATGTAAAATCAGTTTTACATTGAACCCAGAGTTGAAACAAACAACCCCCCCCCCCCCCCCCCACACACACACACACACACACACACAACAATGTAGTGAGCCTTTATAAGCAAACATCATTAATATAATTAGTATATTTATGATGAGAAATGTTCTGGTAAACATTGTGTTGTTGTGCAGGTAAGATTGTAGCCAACCGGACGGTGGACTTTGAGCAGGTGCAGTGGCTGAACTTCACAGTGAGAGCCCAGGACCACGGCAGTCCACCCAGAGTGGCAGAGCTTCCTGTCTACCTGCGTATTGTAGATGTCAATGATAACAACCCCATCTTTACACAACCCTCTTACCAGGTACCAAAAATATTGATTCATAATATACAGTGGGGAGAACAAGTATTTGATACACTGCCGATTTTGCAGGTTTTCCTACTTACAAAGCATGTAGAGGTCTGTAATTTTTATCATAGGTACACTTCAACTGTGAGAGACGGAATCTAAAACAAAAATCCAGAAAATCACATTGTATGATTTTTAAGTAATTAATTTGCATTTTATTGCATGACATATGTATTTGATACATCAGAAAAGCAGAACATAATATTTGGTACAGAAACCTTTGTTTGCAATTACAGAGATCATACGTTTCCTGTAGGTCTTGACCAGGTTTGCACACACTGCAGCAGCGATTTTGGCCCACTCCTCCATACAGACCTTCTCCAGATACTTCAGGTTTCGGGACTTTCAGCTCCCTCCAAAGATGTTCTATTGGGTTCAGGTCTGGAGACTGGCTAGGCCACTCCAGAACCTTGAGATGCTTCTTACGGAGCCACTCCTTAGTTTCCCTGGCTGTGTGTTTCGGGTCGTTGTCATGCTGGAAGACCCAGCCATGACCCATCTTCAATGCTCTTACTGAGGGTCTCGCGATACATGGCCCCATCCATCCTCCCCTCAATACGGTGCAGTCGTCCTGTCCCCTTTGCAGAAAAGCACCCCCAAAGAATGATGTTTCCACCTCCATACTTCACGGTTGGGATGGTGTTCTTGGGGTTGTACTCATCCTTCTTCTTCCTCCAAACAAGGCGAGTGGAGTTTAGACTAAAAAGCTCTATTTTTGTCTCATCAGACCACATGACCTTCTCCCATTCTTCCTCTTGATCATCCAGATGGTCATTGGCAAACTTCAGACGGGCCTGGACATGCGCTGGCTTGAGCAGGGGGACCTTGCGTGCGCTGCAGGATTTAAATCCATGACGGTGTAGTGTGTTACTAATGGTTTTCTTTGAGACTGTGGTCCCAGCTCTCTTCAGGTCATTGACCAGGTCCTGCCGTGTAGCTCTGGGCTGATCCCTCACCTTCCTCATGATCATTGATGCCCCACGAGGTGAGATCTTGCATGGAGCCCCAGACCGAGGGTGATTGACCGTCATCTTGAACTTCTTCCATTTTCTAATAATTGCGCCAACAGTTGTTGCCTTCTCACCAAGCTGCTTGCCTATTGTCCTGTAGCCCATCCCAGCCTTGTGCAGGTCTACAATTTTATCCCTGATGTCCTTACACAGCTCTCTGGTCTTGGCCATTGTGGAGAGGTTGGAGTCTGTTTGATTGCGTGTGTGGACAGGTGTATTTTATACAGGTAACGAGTTCAAACAGGTGCAGTTAATACAGGTAATGAGTGGAGAACAGGAGGGCTTCTTAAAGAAAAACTAACAGGTCTGTGAGAGCCGGAATTCTTACTGGTTGGTAGGTGATCAAATACTTATGTCATGCAATAAAATGCAAATTAATTACTTAAAAATCATACAATGTGATTTTCTGGATTTTTGTTTTAGATTCCGTCTCTCACAGTTGAAGTGTACCTATGATAAAAATTATAGACCTCTACATGCTTTGTAAGTAGGAAAACCTGCAAAATCGGCAGTGTATCAAATACTTGTTCTCCCCACTGTACACTGCAAAATGTTTCACCCTTAGTAGTACTCACTTGATATCATTTCTATTGTGATGGTCTGAGTTTGAGCACGCGTCTTGTTTTTGTTGTTGCCACTGTTTACTGTGACTGCCACCCCTTCCCCTTTCTTGTCTCCTTTTTTGTTGTTGCAAAGTGCATTGTAGCATGTATTTTTGAAATGAATGTTGATTTGATTTGATTAGTCAATACATCAAAGTGACATTTGTATTTCTATTTGTATTTATTATGGATCCCCATTAGCTGCTGCCAAGGCAGCAGCTAATCTTCCTGGGGTCTAGCAAAATTAAGGCAGTTATGCCCTCAGGCCCTTACTCTACTACCACATATCTACAACACAAAATCCATGTGTATAGTGCGTATGTTATCGTGTTTGCATGCATGTGTTTGTGCCTATGTTTGTGTTGCTTCACAGCCCATTCTTATCAATTTTTTAAATCAAATTTTACTGCTTGCATTAGTTACTTGATGTGAAATAGAGTTCCATGTAGTCATGCCTCTATGTAGTACTGTGCGCCTCCCATAGTCTGTTCTGGACTTGGGGACTGTGAAGAGACCTCTGGTGGCATGTCTTGTGGGGTATGCATGGGTGTCCGAGCTGTGTGCCAGTAGTTCAAACAGACGGTGCATTCAACATGTCAATACTTCTCACAAATACAAGTAGTGATGAAGTCAATCTCTCCTCCACTTTGAGCCAGGAGAGATTGACATGCGTATTATTAATGTTAGCTCTCTGTGTACATCCAAGGGTAAGCCGTGCTGCCCTGTTCTGAGCCAATTACATCAAGGTGTTCTGTGTGAGTGTGTCTGTGTGTATGCTGATGTTGTTGTGTCTCTTTGTCCCTTTGCAGAAGCCAGTGTTTGAGGATGTTGACTTGGGCACGGTCTTATTGAGAGTCAGTGCCACAGATGCAGACTCTGGCCTCTTCTCTGTCATCGAATACGGCCTAGTAGATGGAGAGGGCAAGTTTGGCATCACTCCCTCCACTGTGAGTTCTACAACACACACACACACACACACACACACACACACACTTTGTAGTGCTTGAAGTGGACTTCACGTTTTTTACTTCACGTATCACTGCACTTCACAAATTGGTGCTGGCACTCATTTTGGGGTGCTGGTACTGTTTATATTCAGGAGCCCGGAACCTTTTAAGCCAATATTCTATAAGAAGTACCGGTACTCAAGCAGTAGAAAATGATTTATGCACCTGTCCAATCCAAGCACTGCACGTACGCACAAACACACATACATACACACAAACACACACACAGAGACACACACACATACACACACACAAAACTCTCTCTCATCTCTTTCATTTTCACTTTCTCTTGTACTCTTTCTCTTTCAAAGAAAATGAACTAACTCATCTATGTTGACTGATTACACAACAAATGAAGGAGGAGTTCAGAAGGTAAAAAATAACAGTTTGTCTGCACACACTGAAGATGAACCCTCCAGTCATTGGGAGGTCAGAAATAATAATAACGGAGTGGCTATGGATACCAGCGGAGGCTTGTGACTTGAAAAATTGAGTGCACGAAGACGACAAAACGTGTTTAAAAAATCGTCAAAGACTAATTATTTTAACCTAAAGTATTTAATAAAGACATTTATATTACAATATTATGGGGAATGGGAATGAGAGGGCGACTTACACAGTGTTGGGAAGGGATCAGTGATTGAATGAGGGTATGAGGCATGAGTTGAGGTGTTCATAGGCTTGACTTCAGTGCAGGACAGGGGTTGAGGTGTTCATAGGCTTCAGTGTAGGACAGGCTCATCATGGATTGATGGTGTGGGAGAAGAGCTCAACCCTTCTACTGAGGGCAGGACAGGATTTGACTGGGAAGACAAAAAACAATAACACAAAACACAACACAGTTAGAAAAAAGAGCTAAGAATGAGTTAGTCCAAGCAAGGAGTAAAAACATTGATGTTTAATAATGTGATTGTGTTTGTGTGTCTGATTGACTCTACAGACAGTAATGAGAGAAAATTGATAGGGGTATTCAGTGCTTGGAGAATAAACATTCAATGTGCCAGTGGATGAGCGGGCACATGAGACGTGGCTTCAGTTCATGTCAGGAGAGCGTTAACAATGGGAGTGGAGTGGAGTGGTCATCACCTCTTAATCAGGGAACATGAGGGGACTTAGCTGTAAATACAAATAGCAGATACATACCATTACAGGTGCTTAATCGTAGGTTTGGGCAACGAGTTTCTCCATGAAATTAAATTCAGACATCTTAGAATTGACAAAGTCAAACAGACTGCACATCTCGCCCACTTGACACATCAAGTAGCTCAAGAAACGTTCCTGAATAAAGCCCTGATCATCCACATACCTGATGATAACTGACAACTGCATGCAGACTGGTGGCACCATATGTCCCAGAGTGGTGGGGCAATTTTTTCCCACTGGGGCCTGGAGTTTTTCCTTATCTGTTAACCTAACCAGGACAACTCTGGACCATATAAGGTATGACAGTGATTAATCAGTTGTAAAAAGGTGTTTTGATCAGATGGACAGGGTGCATAGGCTGTATGCAGCTGCTATTATTAGTAGCCTACAGTTGATCAGACTGAAAAATCGTCTCGTTTTCATCCCATACAGCATGTCAGATCTCTAATGTTTAGGTGTAGCCTAGGCTGCTGCAACATTTATGTAATGAGTTTTTGCTTGTGTCTGTCCAGAGGGATTATGTGTTATCACCTTTGCTAAATAAATACAGAAGGAAAGTGGAAAGCCTACTGCGTGAAAAAATGCACTGCGTCAACGTCTATCTTTAATCTCACTTTTAATGAATGATGTGATGGAAGCTAATCCCAGAAAAGACAGTCGAAAGTTCCATATGTTCAGCAAGTAAAGCATCGTAACGTGCTATTACCTCTGCAAGCTACTTGTAGTTGCCCTTGTTAGCAGAACTTTCCCTATCTTAGTGTCCTCTGAAAGCCAATTCTTGCATGCCCAAAAATGCAGTGGTGTCGATAAGCCGCTTGCGAACATCCCTGTTTCTTCTTACTTTCTCGCTGTGTTGCGCAGTTTCAATACACAGACCTTCCTCCATTACATGATCGATGCGGCTTTTTCCCAAAAGCTTGAATCTGATGTGGGCATTTATATGCTCCCTGCTTTTGTTATGCCATTTGCTGAATGATCAATGTTCTTTAAGTCACTGTACCCCCGTTTAGCACAAGTCTCAGACTTTCCATAAAGCAGGCAAGGCCAGCAATACAGGCGGCTTGATGAAAGGCTCCCTGTTAACCACCTATACTTTCGAGATCAATTGGTATTGAACGCTCTCACCTTTTCATCCTTCTTCATGAAACTGATCTAAGGCAGAGGTCGACCCTTGGTTTTAATTTGCACCTTTTCCGTGTACCCCAGAGAATGAAAGGGGTTCTTCAACAAAAAGTCCACAACATTTTCGGTAATGTTCCCCATTCTGCCATTCTGGCGGCGAAAACTGCATGTTAGCAAGGCACAACCCCAACACAACACACTAGGTTCATTATCTGATCCTAAACCTATGATTGGATGGACAACATGTCAGTTCATACTGCAAAAGCTTTGACTAGTTGAAAGTCGTCCTCCGGAAGTGGTCATAATTACCATGTAGGTCTATGGAAGAGGGTGAGGCATACGAGCCTCCTAGGTTTTGTATTGAAGTCAATGTAGCCAGAGGAAAACGGAAGATAGCTGTCCTCCGGCTACACCATGGTGCTACCCCAGAGAGTGCTGTTGAAGTTACTATAGACCGTCATTGCAAAACAGTGTGTTTTAATCAATTATTTGGTGACATATTAATATATTTATAGTTTTAACTTAAAAGGATAACTTTTTAATATTTCACTATTTTTATTTTTATGAAATTTCCCTGAGGAGGATGTTCCTCCTCTGAGGAGCCTCCACTGACGGATACAGAGTTTCTGTATCCCAATTTGCCCAGGCTGAATATACAGATATTTCTGCGCAGGATTTATTTTGGGTAGATGAGTGCCGACTCCACTGCCTATATACAGTTGAAGTTGGAAGTGTACATACACCTTAGCCAAATACATTTAAACTCAGTTTTTCACAATTCCTGACATTTAATCCTAGTAAAGATTCCCTGTCTTAGGTTAGTTAGGATCACCACTTTTATTTTAAGAATGTGAAATGTCAGAATAATAGTAGAGATAATGATTTATTTCAGCTTTTATTTCTTTCATCACATTCCCAGTGGGTCAGAAGTTTACATACACTCAATTAGTATTTGGTAGCATTGCCTTTAAATTGTTTAACTTGGGTCAAATGTTTCGGGTAGCCTTCCACAAGCTTCCCACAATAAGTTGGGTGAATTTTGGCCCATTCCTCCTGACAGAGCTGGTGTAATTGAGTCAGGTTTATAGGCCTCCTTGCTCGCACACGCTTTTTCAGTTCTGCACCCCACATTTTCTATAGTATTGAGGTCAGGGCTTTGTGATGGCCACTCCAATACCTTGACTTTGTTGTCCTTAAGCCATTTTGCCACAACTTTGGAAGTATGCTTGGGGTCATTGTCCATTTGGAAGACCCATTTACGACCAAGCTTTAACTTCCTGAGATGTTGCTTCAATATATCGACATAATTTTCCTTCCTCATGATGCCATCTATTTTGTGAAGTGCACCAGTCCCTCCTGCAGCAAAGCACCCCCACAGCATGATGCTGCCACCTCCGTGCTTCAAGGTTGTGATGGTGTTTTTCGGTTTGCAAGCGTCCACCTTTTTCCTCCAAATATACAAATATAACGATGGTCATTGTGGCCAAACAGTTCTATTTTTGTTTAATCAGACCAGAGGACATTTCTCCAAAAAGTACGATCTTTGTCCCCATGTGCAGTTGCAAACCGTAGTCTGGCTTTCTTATGGCGGTTTTGGAGAAGTGGCTTCTTTCTTGTTGAGCAGCCTTTCAGGTTATGTCGATATAGGACTCGTTTTACTGTGGATATAGATACTTTTGTACCTGTTTCCTCCAGCATCTTCACAAGGTGCTGTTGTTCTGGGATTGATTCACACTTTTCGCACCAAAGTACATTCATCTCTAGGAGACAGAACTCGTCTCCTTCCTGAGCGGTATGACGGCTGCGTGGTCCCATGGTGTTTATACTTGCGTACTATTTTTTGTACAGATGAACGTGGTACCTTCAGGCGTTTGGAAATTGCTCCCAAGGATGAACCAGACTTGTGGAGGTCTACAATTCTTTTTTTGAGGTCTTGGCTGATTTCTTTTGATTTTCCCATGATGTCAAGCAAAGAGGCACTGAAGGTAGGCCTTGAAATACATCCACAGGTACACCTCCAATTGACTCAAATTATATAAATTAGCCTATCAGAAGCTTCTAAAGCCATGACATCTTTTTCTGGAATTTTCCAAGCTGTTTAAAGGCACAGTCAACTTAGTGTATGTAAACTTCTGCCCCACTGGAATTGTGATACAGTGAATTATAAGTGAAATAATCTGTCTGTAAACAAGTCGGTTAGGACAAGTAGATGTCCTAACCGACTTGCCAAAACTATAGTTTGTTAACAAGAAATTTGAAGAGTGGTTGAAAAACTAGCGATGAAGTGTAGGGACTGTATCCTGCTCGTGCAACTGCAATATCCGTTACCACAGACAGACAGAAGGTTGTAGCCTTCATAATATATATGTTTTGGAATGTTCTTTCAAATCGCTGCAAGGTTTTTAATTCAGCTGTTCAGAAATATGAGGCAGAGACATAGGCTACATCATCATTGTTCAGAAGAGGGTGAGTAAAGAGCGAAACGTGAAGGGAGCAGCAGCTACATTAGAAAAACTGATGTGTGTGTGAAATAACAAATGTGCAGAACGGAGGGGGGGGGGGGGGGTCTCAAAATAATCCTGCAGCAACAGGAAATTTGAATTATTATGTGGATTATAATTAATACATTTTCGTGAGGGCAAATCAAGTCTGACATTTTAAAGTGGAAATTACAAACTTTAGAATCCTTTTCAAACCTCTAATACACTACAAATACTCAGCAACAAAAGAGTGATCAAATTAAGATCCTACATCTGTAAGTATGCATTGATGGGGAGAACAAGTATTTGATACACTGCCGATTTTGCAGGTTTTCCTACTTACAAAGCATGTAGAGGTCTGTAATTTTTATCATAGGTACACTTCAACTGTGAGAGACGGAATCTAAAACAAAAATCCAGAAAATCACATTGTATGATTTTTAAGTAATTAATTTGCATTTTATTGCATGACATAAGTATTTGATCACCTACCAACCAGTAAGAATTCCGGCTCTCACAGACCTGTTAGTTTTTCTTTAAGAAGCCCTCCTGTTCTCCACTCATTACCTGTATTAACTGCACCTGTTTGAACTCGTTACCTGTATAAATGACACCTGTCCACACACTCAATCAAACAGACTCCAACCTCTCCACAATGGCCAAGACCAGAGAGCTGTGTAAGGACATCATGGATAAAATTGTAGACCTGCACAAGGCTGGGATGGGCTACAGGACAATAGGCAAGCAGCTTGGTGAGAAGGCAAGAACTGTTGGCACAATTATTAGAAAATGGAAGAAGTTCAAGATGACAGTCAATCACCCTCAGTCTGGGGCTCCATGCAAGATCTCACCTCGTGGGGCATCAATGATCATGAGGAAGGTGAGGGATCAGCCCAGAACTACATGGCAGGACCTGGTCAATGACCTGAAGAGAGCTGGGACCACAGTCTCAAAGAAAACCATTAGTAACACACTTTGCTGTCATGGATTAAAATCCTGCAGCGCACGCAAGGTCCCCCTGCTCAAGCCAGCGCATGTCCAGGCCCGTCTGAAGTTTGCCAATGACCATCTGGATGATCCAGAGGAGGAATGGGAGAAGGTAATGTGATCTGATGAGACAAAAATAGAGCTTTTTGGTCTAAACTCCACTCGCCTGGGTTTGGAGGAAGAAGAAGGATGAGTACAACCCCAAGAACACCATCCCAACGTGAAGCATGGAGGTGGAAACATCATTCTTTGGGGATGCTTTTCTGCAAAGGGGACAGGACGACTGCTCCGTATTGAGGGGAGGATGGATGGGGCCATGTATCGCGAGATCTTGGCCAACAACCTCTTTCCCTCAGTAAGAGCATTGAAGATGGGTCGTGGCTGGGTCTTCCAGCATGACAACGACCCGAAACACACAGCCAGGGCAACTAAGGAGTGGCTCCGTAAGAAGCATCTCAAGGTCCTGGAGTGGCCTAGCCAGTCTCCAGACCTGAACCCAATAGAAAATCTTTGGAGGGAGCTGAAAGTCCGTATTGCCCAGCGACAGCCCCGAAACCTGAAGGATCTGGAGAAGGTCTGTATGGAGGAGTGGGCCAAAATCCCTGCTGCAGTGTGTGCAAACCTGGTCAAGACCTACAGGAAACGTAGGATCTCTGTAATTGCAAACAAAGGTTTCTGTACCAAATATTATGTTCTGCTTTTCTGATGACCAAGAACTCGATGGTCACTCTGACAGAGCTCCATAGTTCATCTGTGGAGATGGGAGAACCTTCCAGAAGGACAACCATCTCTGCAGCACTCTACCAATCAGGCCTTTATGGTAGAGTGGCCAGACGGAAGCCACTCCTGAGTAAAATGCACCTGAAGGACTCCGACCATGAGAAACAAGATTCTCTGGTCTGATGAAACCAAGATTGAACTCTTTGGCCTGAATGCCAAAGAGTTCACATCTGGAGTGAAGTGTCACATCTGGAGGAAACCTGGCACCATTCTTACGGTGAAGCATGGGGGTGGCAGCATCATGTTGTGAGGGATGTTTTTCAGTGGCAGGGACTGGGAGACTAGTCAGGATTGAGGGAAAGATGAACAGAGCAAAGTACAGAGATATCTTTCATGAAAAACCTGCTCCAGAGCACTCAGGATCTCAGACTGGGGCAAAGGTTCACCTTCCAACATACCCAAGAACACTCCAGGCTGTAATTGCTGCCAAAGGTGCTTCAACAAAGTACTGAGTAAATGGTCTGAATACTTATGTAAATGTGATATTTCCGTTTTTTATTTTGTATACATTTAATAAACATTTCTTAACCTGTTTTTGCTTTGTCATTATGGGGTATAAATTGATGAGGAAAACAAAAATGTAATCAATTTTAGAATAAGGCTGTGACGTAACAAAATTTGGAAATGTCAAGGGGTCTGAATACTTTCCGAATGTACTGTAGGTAGAGATGGGCTGGTTGTGTGTGTATACAGGTGTGTGTGTGTGGGCAGTAAAAAGTAGGGGCAAAACAAACAAATGGCCATCAATCTAATTATCTAATACACTCGTTCAAACAGGCGTCACTGCGCACTCATACTTATCAATCTAAGAGAACTGGGGTTCACAAGATAATAAGGATAGGTCTATGAGGCTACTTCATTGGAAGTCTAGTCTACATAAAACACCATGCCATTTTGCACAAATTTGTAAGTTAACCTTTCGTTTCGACATATAGGCTGCTGTTACTCTCTAAAATATGCTATGCACGGTGTTGGCATATGGAGGGGATTGAGGATAACATAAGTGCAGACGCACTTATCCAGAGCGACTTACAGTTAGTGAGTGCATACATTATTTTATTTTTTTTCATACTGGCCCCCCGTGGGAATCGAACCCACAACCCTGGCGTTGCAAACGCCATGCTCTACCAACTGAGCTACATCCCTGCCGGACATTCCCTCCCCTACCCTGGACGACGCTGGGCCAATTGTGCGCCGCCCTATGGGTCTCCCGGTCACGGCCGGCTATGACAGAGCCTGGATTCGAACCAGGATCTCTAGTGGCACAGCTAGCACTGCGATGCAGTGCCTTAGACCACTGCGCCACTCGGGACAGGGTCTGATGCACGCAACTCCATGTCTCTTCGCAGTTTGACAATGCACCATGGCCGTTAAAATGGTATTGCTTTGGGGATACCGTGCGTGTGTGTGACACCTGTTTGATCGAGTGTATTAGACCCCCCCACACCTGCATACACTCACAACCCACCTGTCTCTACCTACGGTGGCTTGCGAAAGTATTCACCCCCCTTGGCATTTTTCCTTTTTTGTTGCCTTACAACCTGGAATTAAAATTGATTTTTGGGGGGTTTGTATCATTTGATTTACACAACTTGACTACCACTTTGAAGATGCAAAATATATTTTTTTGTGAAACAAACAAGAAATAAGACAAAAAAACAGAAAACTTGAGCGTGCATAACTATTCAACCCCCAAAGTCAATACTTTGTAGAGACACCTTTTACAGCAATTACAGCTGCAAGTCTCTTGGGGTATGTCTCTATAAGCATGGCACATCTAGCCACTGGGATTTTTGCCCATTCTTCAAGGCAAAACTGCTCCAGCTCCTTCAAGCAGGATGGGTTCCGCTGGTGTACAGCAATCTTTAAGTCATACCACATATTCTCAATTGGATTGAGGTCCAGGCTTTGACTAGGCCATTCCAAGACATTTAAATGTTTCCCCTTAAACCACTCAAGTGTTGCTTTAGCAGTATGCTTAGGGTCATTGTCCTGCAGGAAGGTGAACCTCCGTCCCAGTTTCAAATCTCTGGAAGACTGAAACAGGTGTCCCTCAAGAATTACCCTGTATTTAGCGCCATCCATCATTCCTTAAATTCTGACTAGTTTCCCAGTCCCTGCCGATGAAAAACATATTTACATTTTAGTCATTTAGCAGACGCTCTTATCCAGAGTGACTTACAGTTAGTGAGTGCATACATTTTTCATACTGGCCCCCCTTGGGAATCGAACCAACAACCCTGGCGTTGCAAGCGCCAAGCTCTACCAACTGAGCTACACGGGGTAACATCCCCACAGCATGATGCTGCCACCACCATGCTTCACTGAGGGGATGGTGTTCTCGGGGTGATGAGAGGTGTTAGGTTTGCGCCAGACATAACGTTTTTCTTGATGGTCAAAAAGCTCAATTTTAGTCTCATCTGACCAGAGTACCTTCTTCCATAGGTTTAGGGAGTCTCCCACATGCCTTTTGGCGAACCCCAAACGTGTTTGCTTATTTTTTTCTTTAAGCAATGGCTTTTTTCTGGACACTCTTCCATAAAGCCCAGCTCTGTGGAGTGTACGGCTTAAAGTGGTCCTATGGACAGATACTCCAATCTCCGCTGTGGAGCTTTGCAGCTCCTTCAGGGTTATCTTTGGTCTCTTTGTTGCCTCTCTGATTAATGCCCTCCTTGCCTGGTCCGTGAGTTTTGGTGGGTGGCCCTCTCTTGGCAGGCTTGTTGTGGTGCCATATTCTTTCAAATTTTTTTTAATAATGGATTTAATGGTGCTCCGTGGGATGTTAAAAGTTTCTGATATTTTTTTATAACCCAACCTTGATCTGTACTTCTCCACAACTTTGTCCATTACCTGTTTGGAGAGCTCCTTGGTCTTTATGGTGCCGCTTGCTTGGTGGTGCCCCTTGCTTAGTGGTGTTGCAGACTCTGGGGCCTTTCAGAACAGGTGTATATATACTGAGATCATGTGACAGATCATGTGACACTTAGATTGCACACAGGTGGACTTTATTTAACTAATTATGTGACTTCTGAAGGTAATTGGATGCACCAGATCTTATTTAGGGGCTTCATAGCATAGGGGGTGAATACATATGCACGCACCACTTTTCCGTTATTTATTTTGTAGATTTGTTTTTAATAAGTTATTTTTTTCATTTCACTTCACCAATTTGGACTATTTTGTGTATGTCCATTACATGAAATCCAAATAAAAATCAATTTAAATTACAGGTTGTAATGCAACAAAATAGGGAAAACGCCAAGGGGGATGAATTATTTTGCAAGGCACTGTATGTACTGTACGTAATCACACAGACTTGGATGAAATATCTTATCTGAGTTGTGTGGTTCCTCCTTCTGAAAATAATCTGTGGCATAACCTCTTCCAGGTCCTAATAGGCCTACTTATAATCATATGGTTATTACATGCTAAAAGATAAAGGATTTCCTTGTTATTAAAACCTCTATGGGATTGGTGTCCCGTATACGGGACGGTTGAGCTAACGTGCGCTAATGTGATTAGCATGACTGTTGTAAGTAACAGCAAACTTTCCAGGACATAGACATGTCTTATATGGGCATAACGCTTACATTCTTGTTAATCTAACTGCACTGTCCAATTTACAGTAGCTATGACAGTGAAACAAGACCATGCTATTGTTTGAGGAGAGTGCACAACAACAAAAAACATATCACGGCAACTGGTTTTATACATTCACCTCTGAAGGTAAATAATGTAATCTTGCTCTGATTTGTCATCCTAAGGGTCCCAGAGATAAAATGTACCATAGTTTTGTTTAATAAAATCAATTTTTATATTCAAATGTAGGAACTGGGTTCTACAGTTTGAACCCCTGCTGTCTCTGGCTCAACGCCCAGCCATCTAGATGTGTGAAAGTTAGTGTATAAGCTAATGATCAATCATGTATGACATTCCTGGGAGTGTGTAAACTTTTTTGTATTTTTTTGTATTTTGTATTACCATATCATTTGTGTATGTTCTCTATAGTTATGTACTTGAAAATGTATCAATTGACCAATTCGGCACATTTGGGCAGACTTGATACAAAAGAGTCCAGTATTGCAATGCTTCACTGGATCAATCTGAAACTTTGCACACACACTGCTTCCATCTAGTGGCCAAAATTGAGCCTAAACTGCAATATTATATTGTGGCCTTTCTCTTGCATTTCAAAGATGATGGAACAAAAGACAAACAATAGAAAACGCATGTTTTTTTGTTTGTATTACCTTTTAGCAGATCTAATGTGTTATATTCTCCTGCATTAATTTCACATTTCCACAAACTTCAAAGTGTTTCCTTTCAAATGGTATCAAGAATATGCATATCCTTGCTTCAGGTCCTGAGCTACAGGCAGTTAGATTTGGGTATGTCATTTTAGGCGAAAATTGAAAAAAAGTGTCCGATCCTTAAGAGGTTATTAAGCCAATTCTAAAGTATAGTTTCACCAGGTCATCTAACTGCAGGCATTTCAATGGTGGCGCGCACAGCAAAAGGGAGCTAGGGAGACATGCATTTAACCAAATCCCCTACTCGAAATTTAATTTTGACTTTCTTCTCAAAATATTGCCACTTTATTCTCTAAATATTGCTGCTTTTTTAAAGGACATTTCTATGTACCACCACCCGGCGCCGTTTTTTTGTATTTATTTTTAACTTCACTTGGCCCTAATACTCTTCTGTAGTTTACTGCACCTCTTGGCCCGTCTTCACTATACTTTATTTTAATAATGATCTTTCTCCTCTTTCTCCTCCTCCTCCTCCTCCTCTTCTCAGGGTGACATCTACATTCTGTCGCCACTGGACAGAGAGACTAAAGACCACTACACCCTGACGGCCATCGCTAGGGACAACCCTGGGGGCAGCCCCAACAACCGACGAGAGAACTCTGTTCAGGTGGGATTCATACTGTAGTAGAACATAAGTAAACTTAGCTGAATGCACTGACTGTAAGTCACTCTGGATAAGAGTGTATGTTAAATGACTAAAATGTGAATGTAAATGTACATTGAAAATATAGTGCCGCATTGGTATTATGTGTATTATGATCCCTGTGGGGATTGAAACCACAACGTTGGTATTGCTAGCGCCACACTCTTACTAACTGAGCCACACAGGACCACATACTATTTTCCTGTCTCTCTCAGGTCTTGGTGACCGTTCTGGATGTGAATGACTTCCGTCCACGGTTCTCCGTGCGGGTCTTTGAGACCAGTGTGTTTGAGAACGAGCCCAGTGGAACGTCTGTGATCACGCTGACTGCCACTGACTTGGATGAGGGGCAGAACGGCCTGCTCTCTTACAGCCTGCAGGGCCCGGGGGCAGGTTGGAGCCCTACACACACGCACACTCGCACACTCACACACACACACACACACACACACACACACACACACACACACACACACACACACACACACACACACACCCCTTACCATCATCTGTACTGTGAGAGGCATTTGTTCCAGCCCAGCATTAACACCACTGATTCAACTTATTATGATCTTCATGACCAATTGATTAGTTGAGTCAAGTGTGTTAGTGCTGGGCTAGAACAAAATCCTGTATACCCCCTGTTTAACATTTACATGTTTTGTCTCACTTTCTCCCTGCCTCTGACTAACTGTTGGTTACATTCTCTTACTATTTTCTCTCTCTCCCTCTCTATGGTGTATCAGATGCCTTCTCTCTGGACGCTGACACAGGCCTGGTGCGTTCTCTCCGTCTGCTGCAGTCCTTTGAGCACTTTAACTTGACAGTGGTGGCTACAGACCAGGGCAGACCACCCCTCTGGGGCACCGCCGTCTTACGCATCATCGTCATAGATGTCAACGATAACAGGCCCATGTTTGTCAGGCCCACCAACGGCACCATCATGCATATCATGGAGGTGTGTGTGTGTGTGTGTGTTTTTGCATGTGCATGTTGGTGGTACTACAGTATGGCGTTTGTTAGTAGTCCCTAGCGGGATAGTAAAAATTGAAGAACATATACATTATTTTTGGGCATGTACAGTATGAAGGTGTTGCTCCACTACACACACATTGCTACTGTAAAACTGTCTGCAGTTGTAGTTATATTGCATACAAACAGAATATCTAAAATCTCAATGATGTGTCTGTCCTCCCCCCTTGTAGGAGCAGCCCCCAGGCCTGCTGGTGTATGAGGTGTTTGCGACAGATGGGGATGAGGGGGTGAATGGAGAGGTGCGCTATGCCTTCCTCCAGACAGGAGCTGGAAACAGAGACTGGGAGAACTTCCACATTGATGCTATTACAGGAGTCATCACCACCGCCATCAAACTGGACCGAGAGAAGCAGGCCCTGCACAGTGTGAGTGGACTGACTGGGCCCAATTCTAACTTGAGATATGCACTTGTAGCTAGTGACAACCTGAATCATACGTGTACCTTCATATCAATGGGAGATATGCATTAAAGTTTGATGTAGGCCTGGTGGATTTCATGTTAGGATTCAGCCCAGACAGGAATGAACAAGCTGATATGCGACTTATGAACCTACACAGTGATGGAGTGTGTGTATATTGTGTTTGTATTGTGTGTGAGTGTGTGTGTGTGTGTGTGTGTGTGTGTGTGTGTGTGCGTGCATGTATTTGTGTGTGTGTGTGTGTGTGTGCATTCTTGTGTGTGTTTGTGTGTGCGTGTGTGTGTGTGTGCATGCATGCTTGTGTGTATGTGTATTGTTTATGTCTGACTAAAGGACTGTGTCCTGTCCCTCAGCTGATTGTTGTGGCCTATGACCTGGGTCAGCCCGTGCCTTATGAGACCACCCAGCCCTTACAGGTGGCGCTGTTGGACATCGATGACAACGAGCCTGTCTTCTTTAAGCCCCCGGTGAGTGGAGGAGAGTTAGGGAGCTGGGTGGTGTCTCATGCCAGGAAGATGTTCCCGCCACTCTGCCCTAATTCACACTCATCTTATTGCAATGAAACATAGCCCTGGACTCCTCAGCTATAAGTCTAACTCTGGGTTTATACCTTAACACTAAATGATACTTGAAATGGGATAATGTTTTTTCTATACCAAACCACATTTTAAAATCTCTAGATATTTGATGTTTGTCTGTGATTAGGGTTGTGTTTTATTTGGTATTTTGTGTACTGTACTGTGTTTGTATATTAGTCAATAGCTTTGTTTATACCTGGCGCTAACATGCGTCCTTTGTCCTTATCTTGTCCACATTCTGATTGTGCCCACATTTTCAAAAATATGCCTACAGATGGTATTACAATGTGTCTCATATCTGTCCATTGTGTCCGCATTGTGACCAGATTTTACTGGTCCCTCCCTGTATGCAAATGTTTTGACAGCTATTCTTTCAAAATAGTATTTATGTATTTATTCTAAGACCCAAATTGATGCCATATGTAAATGGTGCCACTTGTCAATGATTTTAGAAGGCAGGATTATGATGATTTAAATGGTTTCACTGTCCAGATCCATCTACACTTGTAAGACATCAAGATACAATGCGTGCCTGTCTACCTCCAGAGGTGGTCTGGAAGATCTGATCACAATCAGATCGCAATGCGTCTTTTAATCGTCTACACCTGTCTGAAAATGTGGGCAGAATCCGAATGTGCACAGGATCAGGACAAAATATGCATGTTAGAACCAAGTATAAACAGGGCATGTCTCTGTTTCATATACGATTTTGTTTTACATCTGGCTCATGTATCTGTGTGTGTGTGTGTGCATCTGTCTGTATGTCTGTCTGACTCTCAGCGAGGCAGCCTGCCGTACCAGACTCTGTCTGTGGCAGAGCACTCTACTCCAGGGACAGTAGTGGGTAACGTGACAGGAGCTGTGGACGCAGATGAAGGCTCCAACGCTGTAGTCTACTTCTTCATTGCAGGTCTGTGGAGAGGACAACACAACACTACACACAACCACACAAACACACACAGACACAGGCACACACACACACACACACTGATTCATCCATACCGGACAATGCAGAAATATCAGTCCATTAGTACTAATACTGAATAATGAAATATATTTTTGGTTGCTGCATGTTGGTGCTGCTGTCTATTGAATATGGACGTAACACTGATTTCCAATCATGCCCTTTAGGGGGAGATACTGAAGGTAACTTTGGCCTGAGCCCAGGGGGCATACTGAAGGTGAAGAAGGATCTGGACCGTGAGGACATCTCAGTGTACTCCATCATCGTCAAGGCCTCCAGCCAAAGGAACTGGGCCCTTGCCGGGGGTCAAAGGTCAGCCTGGGGCAGAGCCCTTGACCCCAGCCGTGACCCAACCCTGCAGGAGGTCAGAATCTACCTGGAGGACATCAACGACCAGCCACCGCGCTTCACCAAGCTAGAGTACACTACAGGTACTGTACATAAACTGGGGGAAGGGGTAAATGTGTAAATGTGTGTGTGTGTGTTGAGGTTGTGTGTCTATACGCATGAGTGTGAATTGATAATATTGTGCTGCTCTTACTAACCAGTTATCTCTCTTTCATTCCCCACCCCCTCTATCTCTCTCTCTCTCTCTCTCTCTCTCTCAGGTGTCGCTGCTGATGCCAAGGTGGGCTCAGATCTGATCCGGGTACAGGCTATAGACAACGATGTAGGGAACAACAGCCTGGTGCTGTACCATGTCCTGTCCATTCGCTACATTAAACTCCAGTCCAATGACTCTGATTACATAGGAAACGTCTTCATCATAGGTCAGTCACTGCCTACTGCCTAGCATGACTATTATCTCCTCTGTGTTTGTATAGTATCAATTGTTAATCCTTGATAACCAATGTTGGAATCAATTCCATTTCAATTCAGAATTGAGGAGATTAATTGAATTTAAATGGAATTGGGCCCCAACCATGTTGATAACCCTCTCTCTCTCTTCAAACGTGTCCTTACTTGTCCTTTTATAACAATGGTTGGGATCAGTTCCATTTCAATTCAGGAAATGAATTGACTACTCTAAATTGACTGAATTGAAATGGAATGGGCCTCAAACCTGTTGATAACGCCCACCTCTAGGGGAGACAGATGGGATATATTTCAATTCTAAATATTGATTGAATCACAGTGGAATTGGCCCCTGAACCTGTTGATAACCCTTAGGAGAGAAAGATGGGATCATCCGTACCTTTGACCTGTTCACGGCTTACGACCCGGGATACTTTGTGGTGGAGGTGTTGGCACGGGACCTGGCGGGCCACAGTGACATCGCCATGGTGGGCATCTACATCCTGCGGGACGACCAGCGGGTGAAGATCGTCATCAACGAGATACCCGAGCGTGTACGACAGTTCCAGGAGGAGTTTGTCAACTTGCTGTCCAACATCACCGGAGCCATAGTCAACACGGACGATGTGCAGGTAGGTAAGGGTGTGGGGGAGTGTGTGTGCTTGTGCAAGTGTGTGCGTGTGTGCATGCGTGTGTATAAAATGACATATGAAATGTGTATCTCCCACTAACCCCCTTTGTCATTTTCCAACACTGTTTCTGCTCAGTTCCACGTGGACAAGAAGGGCAGCGTGAACTTTTCCCAGACAGATGTGCTCATACACGTTGTCAACAAGCAGACCAACCGCATCCTGGACGTGGAAAAGTCAGTTGCTGCCTGGCAGTATAGTTTATTATCATGTTATTACCTATAGAAATATAATTACTAGAACGGACAGTCCCCATTCCCATATTTAGTGTACATATTAATTTACCAGTCAAATTGCAGTGGTCTTAGGTGCTTTGTCCCTTCTAGTAATTATATTTCTATGTCATTATATTGTTACTACACAAAAACCATGTTGTTTAAGTCTACTCCTCTCTGTGCTGAGCCCATTGTCTCTACTTCCCTGGTCTTGTGATTGACAGGGTGATTCAGATGATTGATGAGAACAAGGAACAGCTGAGGAACCTGTTCAGGAATTACAACATCCTGGATGTCCAGCCTGCCGTCAGCGGGAGAGCACCTGATGACCTCACAACGCTACAGATGGCCATCATTATCCTAGCTGTGTTGCTCTTCTTGGCAGCCATGTTGTTCATCTTCATGAACTGGTACTATCGCACAGTGTAAGAGCCTCCCACTTTAATTCAAATCAAAATGTATTAGTCACATACGCCGAATCCAATTGGTGTAGACTTTACCGTGAAATGCTAGCTTACGAGCCCTTCCCAACAATGTAGAGTAAAAATAAAAATACAAATTGTAACACGAGGAATAAAATAAAATACACAAGAATGGCAATATATACAGGGAGTACCAGTACCAAATCAATGTGCATGTCACGGTTCAGACAGATGACCAGAGGACCACAATTGCGTCACACCAGAAAGTTTATTAAAACTTAAGGGAAAAGGGAAGTAGGGAGTGAATGAAGGCTCCAGGGGTAACAGGGATCCCGTCCAATGTGCTGGGTCTGTGCCCCCCCCAGTGGCAGCGATGCGTCCTATGAAGCCGGTGGTGGGTGGTCCAGAAGTCCTGGGGGGGGGAGACACAGACACAACAGGGCGGAATGAAACAAGGCAGCAGTACAGTTCAAGGGACATCCAAAATACGTAGTAGCAAGGCAGAAGGCTGGTCAGAGTTACCGGGATTGAAGAGTAGTCAGGAGTCGAAATGGCAGAAGCAGGTCTGGATCTCCTGGGGCAGAAGAGTATCAAAAATCAGGCAGGTCCGGGGTCACAAAACCAGGGTGAGCCAGAAGCCGAGCAAACAGGTTCCGGGTGTGAGCTTTGCAGACGATCTGACAAAGAGAGCTGAAAGACGGGCTTTAAATACTGGGAGAGGTTAGTGGGTAATGCAGCGCAGCTGGCAGAGTAATTAGAGCAGAGCAGAGCAGGGACAGGTGGAGCTAGTTAGGCTGAGTAGAGAGAGTGGGTGAGCAGAGTGGAAGATAGTGGAAACCAATTAGGTGGTAACCGGTGGAGTGAGAGGGCCTGATAGGCATCAGGATAGATAATAATACGAGTAAAATAAAGAACAGAGCAGCAGCAGCAAATGATGAGTGTAAAAGTGTGTGTGTGTGCGTGCGTGTAATATGTATGTGTGTTTGTGTTGTGTTGGTCTGCGTGTGTGAATGTGTGTGGGTTTTGTGTGGGAGTGTCAATCTAGTGTGTGTGAGTGATTGTGTATATGGTTTGTATATATAGTCTAGTGAGTGTGCGTAGGGTCAGTGCAAGATAGAGTCAGTACAGATAGTTTGGGTACCATTAATTGACTATTTAGCAGTCTGGCAGTCTTATCGCTTGGGGGTAGAAACTGTCTCGGAGCCTGTTGGTCCGAGAGCCGATCCTCCGGTACCATTTTCCGGACAGTAGCAGAGTGAACAGTCTATGGCTTGGGTGGCTGGAGTCTTTGGCAATTTTTCGGGTCTTCCTCTGACACCGCCTGACATAGAGGTCCTGGATGGCAGGGAGCTCGGCCCCAGTGATGTACTGGGCTGTTCGCACCACCCTCTGTCACCCTTTCACCCTAATTGTCAAACATAGCATACCGATCCACTTTAACATATACAATCCAATAATCTTACTCATACTAAACCACTTCATTTTACAATATGTTCTTGTGCATCAAAGTATAGATTGCTCTTTCAGTTCATCTCAATAGTCAATGACATTTTCTTTTTCATTTCAATGGAATTTGTAATGGTGTTACTTCACACTGGCTATGATAGATACTTTGACTCTGCTATGTCAACATGTTGAATGTCTCACCACCTGTCTGTGTGTTTTTCTGTGCTACAGACACAAGAGGAAGCTGAAAGCCATTGTAGCAGGATCCACAGGTGAGAGACAGCACGGAGGGGAAAGTCCCTGCAAGCCTAACGGCAGGATGTGGCAAACTATTAGCACTGTGGACTAGTTTGACTAGCTGTGTGTGTGTGTGTGTGTGTGTGTGTGTGTGTGTGTGTGTGTGTGTGTACATGTGTGTGCGTGATTATAATTCATATTTCACCCATTTGTCTTCTGTCTTCCAGGGAAGCAAGGTCTCATGGACATCCTGGATATGCCGAACACCAATAAATACTCATTTGAGGGGTGAGACAATAGATAACAGTGTTTATGCATTTTAAAACCTACTTTATTGCACTTGACTCATGTCATTGATATGATGTCTGTGTGGGCATATTCCTTTTGCAGGTTCACAGATACATGCAGTGCTGATCTTAAATATCTGACAGTTGTGTATACAATATCTAATAAGACTGATGAAGTGTTATACTGGGTAAGGTTATAGCTAAGACTGTTGTTGACACTCAGGGCCAACCCTGTGTGGCTAGACCCGTTCTGTCGGAACCTGGAGCTAGCTGCCCAGGCAGAGCACGAAGACGACCTGCCGGAAAACCTCAGTGAGATCACTGACCTGTGGAACAGCCCTGCTCCCACTCACGTGAGTACAGCTATTAAACAGTGGCGGTCTATGCTGTTTTCTATTATTACAGCATATTGGATGACTGTCATTCATATTCCATTCACCCAGTTCATTGTAACATCGATAGGTTTAGGCTACTACATGATACTCACATTTTCCCTATACCCATCATGAGGTTGCCACAACCTAGCCTATGAATGAAAGTTTACAACCTGGTGCACAAATGTTGAGAGAAGAATTTGAGGTGACAGACAGTGACACATTCAATACTGCCTTCACACTCTTGCCTGCATCTAGCTGATCTAGGGCGCAATCATTAGTCCAACAGTTGCAAACGAGAGTTTTATTGGACAAATTCAGGTATGTTTATCCCTGTTTCGTTCAGTTTGCTTCCGTTTCAGAAATGTCTTTCAACAGAATCAGCGGAATGAATACACCCCTGATCACGCGTAAACACAGTTCACTTTCATAGCAGCCACGTTGTATTCATTCTTGCATTTATGCACTCTCCTCCTCTCACCTTTTCCCTTCGCTTGTGCTTCAATGCACAACACATCAGCTGTATGATACCAGGCGAAAAAACCTTTCCAAGCAAAACCATATTATAACCGCTACACACAGCCTACATCGTTGTAACCATATTAGCTATTTGTAACGTCATATTCAACATAGCTAATAGAACTAACGCATTAGTAAACCCGCTACAATTATGCAGTAACGATAGTCAGTAAGCAGTTTAGCAGTTACACTGGCGGGCCCCGGTATCAATCAATTAGTCAAACCAAAAGCTTGCCTTGACTTGGAAGAGTTCCAGTGTTTGCAGGGTGTTTGAGTAGGCTAAACTAGCTAGCTGCATTTGCTAGCTAAGTAAGTTAAACTGAAAGTGAAAAAAAATTACTCTCTCTGTCTCTCACTTGCTTCTCCTTCATTTGTGAAGAAATTAATTAGTTTAAAACTGTTCAACTATTGTCTTTCTCTCTCTTTGAGTCAACTACCCACCACAAACTAGCTAGCTGTAGCTTATACTTTCAGTACTATATTCATTATCTGATCCTTTGATTGGGTGGACAGCATGTCAGTTCATGCTGCAAGAGCTCTGATAGGTTGGAGGACATCCTCCGGAAGTTGTCATAATTACTGTGTAAGTCTATGGAACCATGAGCCTCCAAGGTTTTGTACTTGAAGTCAATGTACCCAGAGGAGGACGGAAGCTAGCTGTCCTCCGGCTACACCATGGTGCTACCCTACAGAGTGCTGTTGAGGCTACTGTAGACCTTCATTGCAAAAGAGTGTGTTTTAATCAATTATTTGGTGACCTGTGAATATATTCAGTATAGTTTTATCTAAAAAGCATAACTTTTTATTTTTATGAAATTCACTGAGGAGGATGGTCCTTCCCTTCCTCTTCTGAGGAGGCTCCACTGCTATCTATGTATTTTCATGCATTTCTATGGGTACACCCAGCAAACCACAATGGTTCTGTGAAAGTTCCCAGAACATTCGTTAGGTTGCGGCAAATGTTCTCATAACACAAAAACTGTCCAGTTGTGCTGATGATTATACAATGTTTGTATAAGGGTGCAAAAACATTCCCCTGATGTTACAAGAACGTTCCCAGAACACTTTTTGTCTGTTGTTTAAAGGTCCCCATAATGTTTCTTTAGGTTGTGGGAACAGTCTGGTGGGAACACTGTGGGGACATCACAAAATATAAACTGTCCAGTTGTGCAGATGATTATACAATGTTTATTTTAGGGTGCAAAAACATTCCCCTGATGTTACAAGAACGTTCCCAGAACACATTTTTTATGTTCTTTAAAAGTTCCTAAAACATTTATTTAGGTTGTGGGAACATTGTGTGGATATGACAAGATATAGGTTCCCAAAACACTAAAACTGTCCAGTTGTGCTGACATTCAGATAATGTTTGTGACAGGGTGCACAAAACATTCCTTTGAGGTTGCAAGAATGTTGATAGAACAGCCTTTCTGAGTTCTTTAAAGGTTCCTAGAACATTTCATTAGGTTGTGGGAACAGTGTGGGTACATTACAAGATATAGGTTCCCAAAGCACAAAATATGCTCAGTTGTAATGACATTCATACAATGTTTAAGTGAAATTGCACAGAGCATTCCCTTAATATTTTTCACATATCTCTAGCGTGAGTTTTTTTATGAGCGTGATGTCAGAATGAGAAATCCAAGATTTGATTGTCACGCAACAGGACAGTTAACCCATGCTGCCCTCAAACCAATTAGCTTCCTGCTAATTATCTATAGGCTATGTTTCAAATTATTTTCAAACAACAATTTTATTTTCAAACAACAGTTTGAAATTAGGTGTGTTCCACCTACTCATTAATTCACCAAGAAGTAGCCCATTTCACTGTGCCAGACAATTTACATTTTAGGCATGCTATGCTAATGTGAAATGGCTGGCGGCCTTGCAGCTACCGCAGACCTCCTGTACTTCACCCACTGTTTGTCTGCCTCCATCACCACCAGCATCTTCAGAGGGACCTGGGACTTCATCGGTGGGAAAGGGGTCCTCAGATTAAGGGTTTTTAACGGCCACAAGGTTGGGGGCAGCTCCTCACTGTCAGAGTCTGATTCCTCACTTTCATACTCAGCCTCATTTCAAAATTTACAAAAATCTCCAGAATTCCACATTTGTGAGTTCCACATTGCTAATGCTACAGCTTAGCCCACTACTACATACATAAACAACAACACTGAATGGCTCTGAGTGAGTGTCAGAGGTTAAGTGATTGACTGCCGGCAGGTGCCACTTGTATCAATAAATCATTATCAGAAAATGGTTTGTGTGGTAATTATTTCTTTATTTTCTGTTTTATTCACATTTTCAAGTACTGGTGACAAATCATGCATAGATTGTAATAGACACATATAAAGTGTTTAAAATACTTTTTTGAAGGTTGTGCTGATTATGATGAGCTAATGCTAAGCTAATTGCCAGCTATGTGTGGAGACATGTTTGTTGACATCATACAATGCATTCTGGGTATCACGTAAACGTCTGTCAGACCAAAGATGTTATAACAAAATGAGGTGAAGGGATGGTTCACTCGTCTTTTGAGTAAACTTCCGGAAGTGAATGATGGCAGATGACACCCCCTTCAACATGCATACTGCAAACAGACCCAACTCATCTTGTCACCTCTTCTTATATTTGGTTTATGTGGAAAAACAAAGATGGCAGCGCGCACAAACTTTACCCACCGTAGGATTACTTTTGACTTTTAGAAAGTATTTTACTAAATTACAATGCATTCGGAAAGTATTCAGACCCTTTGACTTTTTACATTTACATTTACATTTTAGTCATTTAGCAGACGCTCTTAACCAGAGCGACTTACAGGAGCAATTAGGGTTAAGTGCCTTGCTCAAGGGCACATTAACGTCATTTAGCAGACGCTCTTAGCCAGAGCGACTCACAAATTGGTGCGTTCACCCTATAGCCAGTGGGATAACCACTTTACAATTTGGGGGGGGGGGGGGGGGTTAGAAGGAATACTTTATCCTATCCCAGGTATTCCTTAAAGAGGTGGGGTTTCAAATGTCTCCGGAAGGTGGTGAGTGACTCCGCTGTCCTGGCGTCGTGAGGGAGCTTGTTCCACCATTGGGGTGCCAGAGCAGCGAACAGTTTTGACTGGGCTGAGCGGGAGCTATGCTTCCGCAGAGGAAGGGGAGCCAGCAGGCCAGAGGTGGATGAACGCAATGTCCTCGTTTGGGTGTAGGGACTGATCAGAGCCTGAAGGTACAGAGGTGCCGTTCCCCTCACATGTTTGTAGCTAACGAGTTACAAGCTGTGGATTCGTAGGAACGTGATGGGATTGAACACCAACGGCTCGCTCTGATATTTGTTTTATGCACGGCCCCTTTAGTCAATCTGACACACCAAGTTACGTCATAATGTCACATTTTTACGTTACAGCTTTATTCTGAAATGGATTAAATAGTTTTTTCCCCCCTTTATCAATCTACACACAATACGTCATAATGACAAAGCAAAAACAGATTTTTATCAAATTATTTGTAAAAAAATTGAAATATCACAGTATTCAGACTCTTTACTCAGTACTTTGTTGAAGTCCCTTTGGGAGTGATTACAGCCTCGAATCTTCTTGGGTATGACGTTACAAGCTTGGCATACCTGTATTTGGGGAGTTTCTCCCATTCTTCTCTGCAGATCCTCTCAAGCTCTGTCAGGTTGGATGGGGAGCGTCGCTGCACAGCTATTTTCAGAGATGTTAGATCGGGTTCAAGTCCGGGCTCTGGCTGGGCCACTCAAGGACATTCAGAGACTTTCCCGAAGCCACTCCTGCATTGTCTTGGCTGTGTGCTTAGGGTCGTTGTCCTGTTGGAAGGTGAACCTTCGCCCCAGTCTGAGGTCCTCAGCGCTCTGGAGCAGGTTTTCATCAAGGATCTCTCTGTACTTTGCTCCGTTCATCTTTCCCTCGATACTGACTAGTCTCCCAGTCCCTGCCGCTGAAAAACATCCCCACAGCATGATGCTGCCACCACCAAGCTTCACTGTAGGGATAGTGCCAGTTTTCCTCCAGGCGTGACCCTTGGCATTCAGGCCAAAGAGTTCAATCTTGGTTTCATCAGACCAGAGATACTTGTTTCTCATGGTCTGGGAGTCCTTTAGGAGCCTTTTGGCAAAATCCAAGAGGGCTGTCATGTGCCTTTTACTGAGGAGTGGCTTCTGTCTGGCCACTCTACCATAAAGATCTGATTGGTGGAGTGCTGCAGAGATGGTTGTCCTTCTGGAAGTTTCTCCCATCTCCACAGAGGAACTCTGGAGCTCTGTCAGAGTGACCATTGGGTTCTTGGTCACCTCCCTGACCAAAGCCCTTCTCTCCAAATGCTCAATTTGGCCTGACGGCCAGCTCTAGGAAGAGTCTTGGTGGTTCCAAACTTCTTCCATTTAAGAATGATGGAGGCCACTGTGTTCTTGGGGAACTTCAA